TTTAACACACACACACACAGCTTTTAAAACTAAATTTTAAAAAATAAAAACCAATTATATATCCAAATTACAGTGCACGAAAAAATGGAAGACAAAAAACTGTTTGGATCGGACTGCGGGGATCTACGGTGATGAGAAAGAGACCTGGTTGCAATGTTACACTGTACTGCTCACTATTCAGTACAATATAAAATTGTTTTTTCTCCTTGTGTATTTCGTCGATCCACCCTATGTATTATGTACCATCTATACAAGTTTTTGTTTTCATTAGGTTCATGCTGCCATCTATTGATGAAATATTTACCTGATTATTTTAACTATGAATAATGTAAAAATAAAATACTGTATTCAATTAATCCGGATAAAAAAAATTACTTCTCAAAATTAATAATTTGTCAATACCAGACGAGTGGGGGACTTATTTAGAGGATCTATAATAAAATGCTTCAGACGGTGATGCATTTTTAATCCAATCATTCAGTATTTTTTTTTTTTCGTTTTGAAGAGAGTGGCAATTGGTATCTTATTTATTTTCACATTTTTATTTTTTAAACTGGGAAAGGAGCAGAAAAGAATTTCACATATTCACCTGAATAAATGGTATTCTTTATTTACTTATTGATATATATAGTAGTTCACATAGGTTTGTAAATGCGCAGTGTTGAGCAAGAATGTATGAATTTTCAATAATCGAATTTAAATTGAAAATCAGAATATCGTTTACTTTTAATAAACACAGATTTTGATTGTGTTTGATCATGGATCAGGATATCTTCACTAAAAGCACTCGTGAGTCAACTGGGCTTATGAAATATCAAAATAACGGCTGACACATATTATCAGTTGCAGTTCAATCAAAGGTGCAATAATTACATTAAAAATAATTTAGTCAGTAAAACATTAACTAAGATTTCATAATATTTATGTAAGTTTCAAAGACAATTCTAATAATTATATAAAATTGTTTTGTAAAAAACCGCTAAGAAAGATCCATAAAATTCATTTCATACGCATATTAATTTTATTATTAAAATCCATAAAGACAAGATACAAAACAATCAAAAGAAAAACATTTTTGTGATTAAAACTGCTTATAATTAAGAAGTCTCCAATATTATGTTGTATAATTTAGAAGAAATACCACAAAATAGAAATTCAAATTTTTGTAATGCTCTCTTCAAACAGAAAAAGAAACACAAACAGACAGAATCTATGATTTAAAAAGCACGAATATGGGCAAGTTTATAGTATATAGAAAATGTTCTTGTAATGTCTCGAAAATACACTCTTCTACAGCTGTTTGTTTGAAATTTAAAATTAGATCACATAGATATCAATTTTAAAATGAAATTCATTCATAGAAGCTTTATTAAAGTAAATTAAAAAGGAATGAAAAAAGTTTACTATTGAAAATAAATATATTTAAAATGAAAATCTGGTGGTGAGCAAAGTTTTGTAAATCTCGTAATTTTTTGTTGCAAGTTAAATAAAGAAAAAAAAAGCTTCAAAGTGAAACTGCATGACCATAAAATACTCGTAAACTGCTCATCTTATTTCTTCCAGCTTGTTTTCAGTTAAGCTGCGTTCACATTATTTTGTAGCTTTTTAATAAATATCTTATTTTTTTATTTGTAATTTGTCCCTTTCTTTCTTTTGCGTTTTTATTTCATTTATTTGTTTCTGTAATTTCCTTGTGATACTTGTGATGCACATGGAAATTATTTTACCTGTTTTCAGTAATGAAATTGTTTTCCTTGTTCTGATTACATACGGCTATCCTCTGTGATTATATTCCGTTCTAAGACTCTTATATTAATGACCTCAGAAAATAATTTTCACACGTTTGTTGCCTTTTGCAAAATATTAAGTGGAAAGTTATTTGACCCAAAACGCAATGACGATGTATGAAAGGCGCGGTCTACCCTCAGCCCCACCTAGAAGTATGAGAGGAAGTGAAGGATGACTCGTCATATTCAATCAAACTATTTATTAAACACACAAATTATCAACAGACAGAATTCTTTAAATTCAAACTAGAAGAGATGTTCCTAATAAGAGCAATAGGAGAATAAACCACGAGAGATGTGAATTATGAGAAGACTTGATCCTCCTTTTTTGGGATCAATCTACTACTCTAAATATCTGAATTATAAATCAACTATGGTGACCAATCGTCACTTTAATACCTTCAACTATCGAATCTCTGAAACGCGCTATCAAATATAATACCTAATCGGTAGCAATCTCTCCTCGTAGTCAGATTCTCCATATCTCAATCTCCATATAACTCCGTCGATCCATTTTACTAGCTAGAAAACCTAGATTATATATAACCGACCTAATCTGCAAATCACGGTTTCTTCTTTAAAAGAGTTGGTTGGGATTAATTTCAATTGATAGCCCATAGACTTCTCAAGAGGATTAGATGAAGAACGCATATAAATCCGTCACAGATGAAACATGGCAGTTCTCACAGTAAAAATCTTCATAATTTGGTTATACTTTAACTATTTATTATTCCTGATTACAAATAAAATACTATAATGTATCAATTGAAGGATAAAAAAATTACCTTGTTTTTTATGAATTTCACTTCAATCTTGTGACCCAAAACACTGCGCAAAGAAGAAAACTAAATGACAATGAAACAGGGCAGTTCCCCCAACTGTTATAAAAATATTCCGAATTTGGTTTTATTTTGACTATTTCTTTAATTCCTGATTGCATATATGAAATAATTTTGTGCTTTAATTGAAAGATGAAAAATTACTTAAATTTTATATGAATTTCACTTAAACGCTTGCCTGATTATCCCGAGTTATCTCGGGTGCGTATATATTGCAAATAATTATTGTCCCGAGAAAACTCGGGTGAAGCAGAATTTGTCAGTACGATTAGTTTTATCACTGTTTTACTCGGCTGTAGGAAATGAAAGGAAATATTCAGCTTTGATTGGCAGTTTGGACAATTTTTATAACTTTTATAGCAATTTTTATAACTTATATATTATCGCCAGGTTTGGCTGATTTGTTAGTCAAAAGGAAGACTGATGTGTGGAATATTCCGATTGAGTAGAAAAGATTTACCTTGAGATCTAAAGACAAAGAAATTAAAAAAAGGAGAATTTATTGGGTATCAGAGAGGGAAAGTAACTGTAATGAAATGGAAAGAACTAAGAAGGATGTTAGTCTTATTTCCACAATACATACAATTGAAATGCAGGATGAGACAAATAAATGGGGAGAGACAAAGTCCAGGCCTAAATGTGTAGTTGACTACAATGACAAAATGGATAGTGTAGGGTAGTAGGTGTTCACGCGATCAGCTAAACAATTTAGAATGGAGCTGATTGAAAAACTAATGTCAGAAAATCATCGTGACGAGTTTGCTGCCACATCTGGAAGACCAGCATTAGTCCTTCACCACTCAGGTTAACTTCAAGGCATTTTCCAGATGTTATTCCAGCTACTGAAAAAAAAATCAAATACAACGAGACAGTGTACTTTGTGCTCCCGTAAAATAGATTCCAGAGATAAGCCAGTAAGAAAAGAGACAAGATACCAGTGTACAGAATGTCAGAAATCATTTTGTGTTGTCCCTTGTTTCTAAAACAATCATACAAAGACTAATATTTAGCTTTTTTCTGTTTGCCCGAGATAACTCGGGATAGTAAACCAATATTAAAACTAAATGCTTTTACACCTATAAAAAATTAAAAAATTCAACTTAGAACCTACATATTTTGTTTTGTTTCTTTTCATTGTATTATAATAAAGTAAAAAATTTGATTGTTTTTTTTTTTTTTTTTTTTTTTTTTTTTTTTGCAGTTTTTTTTTAAAAAAATTTGTAAGGGAAGCGGTTAAATCTCTTACGAATTATAAAAGAAATTTATTGCTGTTACAATAGTTTTCAAAAAATATATATAGATTCATTTTTTTGGTGAAAGCAGGCATTTGAAGCAATTTATTGATACATAAAACAATAGCCCTTTGGGGGCTGATTATTTTAAAATAAAATAAAATTCCATTGATCAAAAATCAATTTTCAGCGAAAGATGAATTTAATATGAATTGCGTCTAAAATATTTATATTTCTTGTCTCGGAATGTATCTTCAAAGTAATATATTTATATACTTTAAATTGTTAATAAAAAAATTCCCAAATTTTGAGTAAATATTTTCTTATGCACTTCACAAAGAATTGCATTTGTTTGAAATAATTCGATACATTTTTTTGCATGTAACTGAAATAAGAAAAAAGACGATACTCTCATTCTTGATAATTGTGGCTCAATTAATTAGAACAATTTAAAACATTAGATAGACATCAGAATATTTTTTTAAATTAAAATATCTTTCTTTAAGCAAGGGGAACAATTATTTTCGGAAAATGTCTCATCTGCAGTTTAAGCTGAGAAATAAACTTTGCAATTAGAACGATCTTTTTTCTCTTCTACATTGTTCCCTGCCAAACAGCTGAGTATTGTGAAACAGCTGCAAACTTAGTTCAGACTTCAATATCAGTAATACAAACCTTTGCATCAGTTTTATACAATGTACTCTTTGTACCGTAAAGTGGTTACAAACCACATATTTTGATAATAAATTAATGAATGAGAAGTTATGCATAGTGAGGTGTCTAAAAACTTAGACTCTAAAAATTTGTTTTTCTTCTTTCAAATATCAATATCTTTTTCACACACAATTCCTATATTATTAGTTCTCTCTCTCTCTCTCTCTCTCTCTCTCTCTTCCTATATATATATATATATATATATATATATATCTTATACTTGTTCAAATTTTTAATCGTTAATAAAATACTTTCTATTCATCTATTCAAGTTCAAATACATTTTTTTAAACTTAGAGTAAAGGACACTTGATGTTAATACAGTTTTTCAAATATAACTTCACTAATTAAATTGAAAAATAATAAATAGTAACAAACACACACAAAAATAATAGTCTAACAGCAAATTTAGAGAGGAAAATCCATTGTGTTCCTGTAGCGCAAAGGATAATGCATTGGACTTCTTATCCAAAGGGCGTGGGTTCTAATCCCACCTGGAATGGTCTAATTTCTGAGAATGTGATTTGCTTTTTACAATACTATTTTATTATAATAATTAAATTAACAAAAAAATAGTTCAACACCGTACATAGAAAGGAAAATGGAAAATTGCAAAGAAAATCGCT